TCACCTCCGTGGCTGACTGGAACCGCTCCCGTTGCCGAACCGAGAGGTAGCTAATCTGTGCCCTACTTCCCGTCCTCTTGATATTCCCCACTCCTCCCAAAAGCGGGCGGAAGAATGCTTTTGCTGTTTCATCTTTAGACTGTTGGCCCTTTTTTTTTTTCTTTAAATCTTTTGTACATTCTTTCCTTTTTATATTTGGGATGATCTGGAGTACTTGTTAAGACTTCTACTTCAAAGTCGAGCTCTGATAATGAGCTATAAATCATACACAGCTCATTTGAGAGGGAGGAGGGATGGGATGAACGCTAAAATAGCACTGGAAGACTTCAAAGGTCTGTTACACTGAACAGTGTTTCTCAAAATTAATGGACGCATCCTCGGCTGCGGGTGTGAATTTTGATTTCAACAGGACACCAACAATCTGTATCTCTTCCAACGTGCAGGATTTGACCACTAGCTGTTAAAAAGGAAAAGCACCCCTGAGGCTGGCTGTTTGTATCCTGGTGTGGCTGCACGGGGGCGAGTCTGGCAGCCCAGGCCTCGACTGACTGGGGACGTTCCCACCAGCCTCCATGTGAGCTCCCCAACCTCCCTTGTCCGTCTTTCTGGATGTTGAAGCTGTGTGCTCTAATGCTGCTGAACACACAGATGAATATATCTGTACTCTTTTTCTTTTTTTTTTTTTTAAGACGTTTTTTGAAGTTCGAAGGGATGTTACTGGGTTATTTTCCATAACTGATGAGAAGAGTTAATCTATTTTCTTCTATATGCAACATTTGCCAGAAGTCTCTTGCAGTAAATCCTGTTACTTGTCTTTTCATCTCTGCCCTGTGATGCAACAACAGAGTGGAGCTATTTGCTTTTTAATGTAAGCTGGCTTGTAAGTATTATTTAGTGTATCTTCTGTATGTTGCAAAAGAAGATAATCCAGTTAAGGTCAAGACATCTCTTTCTATAGCATTTTAAAAAACTTGTGCTTTTATATTAAGGGCTCTTCAAATAATGTAAATGTGTATTTAATTAAACTTTACTGAAATGAAATTAGCTCCAAAGTGAGCTCATTTTTACAGCTTTTCTTCTGTTAAGGAATATGTAGGTAGTTTTTGTTTTCTCTTAGGCTAGCAGGGTGGTATCGGTAGGGGCAGAAAGAGCTGAGGAAGACTTGAAAGCTTTCAGCTATTGTGGCAGAGTTAGATCTGCAAGAAAATTAAATGCATGTATGTTTTCACTTCTGAAAGGGTAAAGGAAGATGAACTCTAAACTTTCCTTCTCAAAACACGCATTTCACCGATGCTCCTGTAAGGATATGTATGGAGCGTTTGAACTGATGGAAGCAGCAAAGGAATGGGAACAACCATTAACTCTAAATGGAAAGCAGGGCTAGCCCTCTCCATTAAGATGACAGTGACGTTTCTTAGAGAATTTGCTCTACTTTGAGGGAGGGTAACTAATTCATTATTAAGCTGGATTTATCACTGGCTTAAAGATTCTGCCTGAGCTAAATAACTTTTGAGAGGTTGAAATAGGTTACTGTGATGCTTGCACCAACCTTTCTTTGTGTTTGGGACTTGGGCCATGGGTAAGGGACCATCTTTCTACTTCCAAGCCCGAATTTCACTTTGACTGCTGCTCAACTAACTCTCAGATGATGGCGTGTTAGGTTTGTGTGGAATCAATGCTGTGGGGTTTTCTGGTTTACATGGTTTATGTAATGTGGTAGTTTCTTTGGTGAACTCAAATAAATTCTTAGTTTAAGAAATAATGTCTCAGTTCATGTTCATTGTCTTTGGTTTTGATCAATACTGATCAAACAACATAGTTACAGTTTGGTGGCTCACTGGGTAGCAGGAGGAGGCTGAATGTTTAATAGTGGATGTCAGACACACTTGATCCTCCACAGAACATTACTTGATGGTCTTACGGCCAGTTGTTGTCTGATGACAAAGCTGGCGACCTGTTATAAGGAAATTTGTCACAGTGATATTTACTGTGATAAATGGCACAGAGCTAGGGTATGTTTTTTGTAACAGGGACGTTTTGGTGCCCCACAGTGGTAGCATGGAATCACCTGATTTCTGCAAAATGTTAACTTCCAAAACAACAACAGAGTAGTTACAAATGCAGTGTTACTATAAAATACTCTTTCCAAAGAAAATATTTGCCATGCAAAAGCATATGAAATTCTGTGTGTGTCAGACCATGGTGTAAAACCAGAAAGTTGGAGTGTATTTTAATAAAAATTATTTAATTTATGCTGCGTATGATATTATGAACACTGCTAATCTAAGTGGAAAAGAAAATATTTTTTCCTTGCCATTATAGAACAAGAACAGGATACAACCAAAAATGGAAAATCAAAAGGTGCAGAAAAAACAGTGTGGTAAGATACCTAACGTAATCTGTCATTTATTATCTGCATCAATTTTACAAAGTTTTGTTAGGCTGTGGTAGGTCCATCATGGGGTGGTCAGCTGTTGGGGAAATGTTCTTTTTCCTTGTTGCCAGCGATTTGGATTCTGTATTGGATAGCTAAAGGGCAAATCTAATGACAAACTTTCAAACAGTAACTAATACCACCACAGTGTCACCTTTTTTTGCTAATATTTACCCACATTGTTATGGTATTTTAACTTCAAGAAACTCAAAACCTTACAAGTGCTTAAAATACACAGTATCTACAGTTACTGTTGCAAATAATTATCAAATAAGTACTTTTATTATACCCAAAAGACTAAGAAACAGATTTTCAAAGTGGTTTACCTTCCTAGGGTTGTATGTAGGTGCCCAGGAAATGCTTTGTGTTACTAGCTTGCTAACCTAACAACCTTGAGCTGCTGTGGTAAGCGATGAAGTCTTCTGTAACTAAATCTCCTATAGGAAGCCTTGCGTTGTTGGATTGTTTCCCTAATCAGTCTGTAGATTTTCAATTGTATTTTCACTCTGAATATTTTCATGGTTCTATATTATTCACTAAAGACACTTAATGCACCTTGCAATTGCAAACGTAAAGCTTAGTAATTTGTATCACATTTACTAATAGTTACTAGTAATTAAAGGCCAGTAATATTTAAGGAGGTTGTTACTTTAACAAAGGAAATCATGCTCAAATAACAAACTATGGAAAGGAATATTTTTAGGTTAAGTATGTTTGTTATTTATAGATGGATAGAAGTGGTGTAGCTCCATTTTTGCTCACTGTTTGGTTTTTTTAATTAATTTTTGGGCAGGTTTATTGTAATACTAAATAGATTAATAGAAAGAAAAGATAACAATTTACATGAAGGTTTTTTATGTTTGTTCTTAGATATGAAAACAGATCTGAACTTACTGCTTGAATGCCTTAAATATCAGATGGACTGCCCTGTATCTCAGAAAGAGGCTTTGATGACTATTTATTCAATTTGTCAACAGAACAGTAAGAAGTGTTTTTCCTTAGAAACCACACAATTTACATTAAGAAGCTGGTTGTCACTGTAAAAAAAAAAATCTAAATGATATAAGGCTTGAGAAGTTATAAAATCTTGGAAAGTTTTCATTTTAGAGAGAAACAAAAGCAGTTTAATTTTTGTTCTTTTTTTCTGTTATAGGTGAAGCAAGTGAATATTTTCGAGAAATTGGTGGTTTGATGTTTATAAATGATCTTGCAAAGTCAAGTGTTCATTGCATAGTAAAGGAAGCAGCTCTATTTACATTAGGAGTTATAATAGAGAGTAATGGTAATAATAAGTAATATTATTTGTGTTTCCGGGTGAGTTATGATCCCATGTTATTACTTCAGCTTGTGCTTTGTCTCTGGTTTTTTTGGTCTCAAAATCTCAGATGACAAGATCATCAGCTCGAGTGAGGGGCAGTAAAGGTGCCACTGTTTCACTGTCCATCCCTAGATTTGGAGAAATCACTTGCTGATTTGTGTAAACAGCATGTCTTTATGCCACCAGACAGCTGTACTACTTCTCTTCCTCAGCAACAAGTGTTAAATGACTCATAGATTATTCCAAAGTTTGCCTAGGTCCTGGTTGGTTTAGAACTGACTGCGGGGGGAAGGCCTCAGTCACTTTATTGCCCTGTTTTGTCTCCACTCACCACATGTTGGATGCAACTGAGACTCTAGTTACTGTACTACAAAAATAATTTAGGATGATGAATGACTTGCTTTAGGACTTAATGGTTTTTATTTTCTGGTTTCAGTTTATTGTCAACAAACTTTGTGTACTTCTGCACTGTTCGAAGACCTCATTTTGTTTTTAATTAATAAGGATTCTGGTGTGAACTTGAAAAGAATGTCTGTTTATGTCATCTTGGTACTGGTTTCAAATAATAGTAAGTTGGGGTTTTTTTCTGTGTTATAACACCATTTTTTTTCCAGTTGTCAATCTGCAGTACAGAAATTTGGAACACTCAATAAGTAATGTTTTGGTAAAGTTAATTTATAAAGATGAATGGTTGCATGTTGCTGAACCTGAAGTATGCAAGTAGATCATAGATCACTGGGATTTCCTTAGATAGCAGAAAGTGGTTTAGATCTAAAAATGAATTTTATTTTTTTTTTTTTTAAATATAATGCAGAGTTTCTGACAACGTATAGAAAAAATAGATGCAGAAAGAAATGGAATGTTTTTGCCAATGTGTTGTTATGGTTTTGTATTTGGGTTTTTGGGGGATATATGCTTAGGAAATGGAAATAGAAAGTACATATGTAAATTAAACTTGACATTGGGATTTGTCTCAAGTGGCATGTCTCTTCAGAGTCTTGTCTGTGTTCTTTTTTAGAAAGTGGGCAAACCTATGTAAGAGATACAGGCTGCATTGGACTTCTGCTGCAGTTATTCAGGTAAACCAACAGTCGCAATTCAAACAGGGAAAATGATGGACTATTTCACGCTTACGTTTGCTTGACTGTTTTGGACTTGTTTGCATTGTTCTTAACAGAACAACTCTTTCCACATCTGAGATGAATATGTCAGATGAAAATACTAACCAGTGCTACCAGCTGTGGTCTTCAGTCTGCAGTACTCTCTGTGCCTGTGTTAACAATCCTCAGAATGGTAAGTGTTGCTGTTGAAATTGGGAAAAAAGTATTTCTACAAAGTGACAACAGGTTTTTTTTTTTCATTTTTACACTTCAACTGAAATTTCATATTACATTTTGATTTGGGGTTATTTGTTTTTACTTTTCCAGAAGATAATCAAAACATTTGCTGTTCAGTTTTTCCGTATGCCAAAGAGTGGCTTGAATATTGCACAGAGCCTGAGATAGTTCGTCCTATTTGTTCATTTGTTGGTCTCACAGTTGCAAATAACTGTAAGTGTAGCTCAAGCTTTAAATAGTTTTTCTTTTATAAAAGTAAGTTTAATTCAATAGTTAAATGTTTGATTTCTTTTTGTTGATTTCTACAAATTCATTTGCTATTCTTCCAACTTTTACTCTGAAAACTGTGTTCCACCATCTTTGCTTACACTGCATTGTGCTTAGGTCCACAAATAGCCACCGACTGGCAACATTTAGTAAGGTCAGTAGAAACCATTTGGAACCTGTTTTGATTAAAAGTATTTTACAAATACAAGTTATTATTACATCTCTGAAAACAATGACTTAGGTAGAACTCGGGCCTAATGTTTGTTGGTTGTATGTGTGTATTAGGGCCATGTGTTTCCTGTAACTATTTTATAAGACAGTTACTGCGTTTCTCAAGATTAATGTGTATCCAACTTCAGTTCTGTTGTATGGGTGGAAATGTAATGATTAATACATGCACAGAAGGATTGTGATGACTGACAAAATGTGAAAACAATTGGCAACTTGTATTTTTTTACGACAATTTTTTTTTTTTCCACTAAGCGTATGTGCAGAAATATTTTGTTTCTATTGGAGGATTGGATACATTAGCTAAAGTTCTCGTCAAGCTGATGCATGATTCCTGTGCGAGTCACTCAAGCACAAAACTTGCGGTAGTGGTAACAAAGACTCTGGATGCCTGCATTGCTAATGCCTGTGAGTGAAAAGACGGCTACCATTTTTTATATATGGTAATTTTAAAATCTGGTTTCAGTGGAAAAGTGATACAAATGCTTGCCAAAAGGCAATTAAGTTATTATACATCCCAGGTTGTATTGCAGATTTTTAAAAATTCAAACGTGTATGTGGGGAATGATTCAGTTCATCTGAGGTGGGTTGTCCCAATGTGAGGTCTTTGTGTATTCCATCAGAAGATTTTGAGATACCTGTAAGCCTGATGAATCTGTGCTGTCAGCCATGATTATTATGCCTGACACTTCTGCCATAAATGCTTGCTAGCGGAAGTTCAAAAAAGTTTAAAAGCATGTACTGCACTAGTTTTGAGCCTAGTTTCAAAGAAGTTGGTGTGTGACGGGATTAGGTTTCAGCGTGTATGTATTAGCAGTGGTGTTCCCAGTTTCAGGAGGAGGTTGCCCTTTACCAGAATCATTCCTAGCTCTTCTTGTGGCAGATAGACTATGTGTCAGACCTTATTCTACTCTTTCTTGCTCTGTTCTGAAACTGATAAAGGATGTGGAGAAACTCAGCAGAGGCCTACAAAACTTGCACCTGGCAAAGCCCTTGTTTATCACATCTTCTGCCACATCTCTGTACAGCGCAGTCTGGGAGGAAGGGCAGTGTCAGATATGGGGAGCAGCACGGGCAGAATTACTGCACTAGGAAGGATGTGGTAATTGGAAGTGTTAAAAGGAAAGAGAGTTAAGAGAAGGACTGTGCAGGCCCAAGGCTTTTAGAGGTCTGAAGAGGTCCCCTGGACAACAGCATTTTATGCTTGGATGATTCCTTACTATATGGTTTACTTTGCTTCAAATTATTTTCAACATAATAGCTGCCACGGGTGTTATCTTGACGAAGTATCACACTGTGTCAGAGCTACTGAAGCTGCTGTCCAATGACGCTCTGGATACTGGAGAAAAAACTAGTATTATCCTAACAATTGGACACTGTACTGAAGTTTGTGGTAAGATTTTTTTTTTTTTCTTTTTTTCTTTCTGTCAGTTTCTACTAAATTCTCATACAGTAACTACTTCAGTGGTGGTGTTTCATCAAGACTGGAACATGAGGGCAAGATCTATTAAATGATGTAATAGTAACATTCATTAAAAATGTTTGCTATAATGTTCCATCTTTAAATTTTAAAACCTGTTGACAGATAGTATCTTTAAGAGCTTCAAAAAAGTAGACTGTTATGCAAGGATTCAGAGCTGGGCTTAGGTATCACAGGGTATAATTCATCCAGACCTGAAAACTACTACAATACATACATACCAAATAACCCTTTTTGAGCTCTGTTTTAATGGCTCTTGATATCTACAGCTCCTGTCCAGTGTTTACATACCTATGAACTTCTTTAAAAGCAATATAACAGTATTATTTTTGAAATAACATAAGCAGTAGGTAACCCTGAAATGTTTTTGCTAGGCTCCTCGGGGCTTTCCCAAGTGAAAACAGAACACTTACATTGGTATTTTGTGGCAGTACAAGCAAACAGAATGGAAAGCTCTGCCATGCTGATCATTGTTTATTTATACTACTGTTTTTTCTTATGTATGTTCAGAAATGCAAGAAAAAGGGATTATGTTAAAAAATCCTGATTGTTTATCATCCTCTAAATGTCAATAACAAGTTCAATAATTAGTTCAGTAGGTCATAAATCTGGTATTTTAAGGCACTTTTTGATTAAGAATTAATTGAAACAAAGCTTAATGGAAAATGCCTTTCAAATAGAAATATGATTAAACCAACAGAATAAAAGTTTCTCATAAAGTGTCAACACCGACAAATAATCATATTTAATCTTTTGTTGATTCCTTTGTTTTATCAAGTTTAGATGACAAAGAACTATTTTTAGAAAGTTGTCATTTTTGTAAATACCTACTGCAAATGAGATCACTATAAAAAAGTTCAGCTAATTATATAATTAATGAGGAGGAACAAATTAGCCAAACCAGGATTAAACTACTAATTTTATTAGTTTTGCTAATTACAAACATTAAGCTTTTGATATTTCTGCATCTCAAGGCTTACATAGATGTAACATACATACTTCAGGAGTGCATACCAGAGGAAAGGAAATACAGAAGCCATAATTCAAATATTTAGGTGAAAGTTAAATGAGTTTGGAGCTCTGTCATATAATTTGTCTCAGTCCTCCTTCAGTTTTCTTACAAGAACAAGCTCTAGTCAAACCATCCTGTGTGATCTAGAGCGCTCCTGCTGCAACCCCGGGAGTAGGTCATTATAGCAGGCTTGGATCCTTAATGAAAATCTCTCTTTTGGAATTTTTCTGAAAGTTACTAGTATTAGTTTCTAAAATTACTGTAAGATTAACTGTGTATGAGGCTGAAACCAACCTATTTTCCTTCACAATGTCCTGTTTTAGAAGAAAACCAGTGTGAACTGCTCCAGAACAATGGTCTTACACTTATGATTCAGGTATTAACTGAGTCTCAGGATGAGGAATTAAACAAAGCTGCTACTTTTGTGCTGCAAAACTGCAAACAAATGAGTAAGATTACTGTCTTTGCTTTAAAAATTACAGAGATTATTTCCATCTTTAAGTTCTGTTGACTTTCTAAATTATTGTAACTGTAGCAGCTCTGTAATTCTGTGTACAAGAGATGTTTGTTTTCTGCAGAGAAGTTGTGTATTTGCCACTGGGACTGATTGTGGCATTTAGGCAGAAAGAATAAAAGTAAGAATTCCGACGATGCTGCAATAATGCATTTGTGAAACCTATATAAGTATGGCCAGGCCAGTCCTCAAAGCTTTCCCATCTATAAATTACGTGCAAAATATTAACATTGACATTTAACATGCAATAGGCACTCTATGCTGGGCATGTACCATTGCATATAGAGACTAAACCAGTAGATAATGAAGCCTGAAACCACCATGACTACAATTATTCTGCAATATTAAAAAAATCTTGATCTTTATTTTTAAAGTAGAGTGTATTTTGAAATATCCTGTTTAGTTGTTGTGTTTTTTTTAATGACTGTATAATACTACCAATGAAACAGAAAGACACCTTGTCCTTTAATCTCTAAAGCATGGAAGGTATTGTGCAATTGATAATTATTAAAAAGCATGTATCTACATTTTTGTACTGAAAACATAACCAAGAGTTTTGTTTAAGATTGAGGAGGGGTGGTGAGTTTCAGTGTCCATTAATATGGAGTTTTTATTTGAGAGACGTGTACTGATAAACGATATATAGATTAAGGATTAAGTCCATGATAAAGTCATTTTTTAGAGCGCAGCATCATTGTGTAAACAGCTTATAGTGATAGTAATTGCAAGCTCACCTCTTGTAACTGCAATTTGTATTTGAAGTGTATTAATATTTATGTGTAAATTTAAATTAAGTTGTAAAAAAATTATTATTAAGAGGTTATATTTTGCATTACAGTATTGAACTGTCCCTCAGCATACTAAAGCATAATAAAAACTTATTAAGGTATTCACTGATAAAATTTGGAATATTAATATTGTTTTGTCTTTCATAAAGCTGAACAGTTGTCTCTGAAAATAAACAGTAATTCATTAAATGTGAACAATGCAGAAGAGCCGGATGTGCAAGTCAGAAGAAGAAGTCTACAAGACTACTGGAAGAAAGCAAAAGAAATTTTACACAGAATAAACTTCACTGAAAAAGAACATGATGAGGTTGGCCTATTTACCAAAGTAGGATAAAACTAAGCAAATCTTTCCAGAGTTTAGGGAGAAATGGAAAGTAAACCCTTAAGATAACTTCAGTGTGAGCTAGAAAAGTAGGGAAAACATTGGATGTGTGTGAAACTGCAACCTGCAACTTTTACCGTTACTGTGTATCCTACAAAGTTAGAAATATGGAAGGCAATCGGAGAATGCAGGCACTTATATTCTTATGAAGCATTTTAGTTTATTATAAAACCAGATTTTCTACAAAATTGAGATCGTTTAGGTTGGAGAAGCAAGAGTTGGATTTATTTTTAATAGCAAATCACTTGAACCTATAATTTTAGTATTTGCATGCATGAAACGCCCATGATTGCACAGCTACAAAGGGATTAGATGATAATGGAAGATTGAACATAAACTGAAATTACAGTTGTTTCATATTTTCCTTTTGCTGTATAACTACTTGGTATCTCTGGGTGTGGAACGGCAAGTTTTTGAGTTATTTAGCTGGATCTTAAGTTAATTAAATCTTTTATTTCTTCAAGTGCCTTGTTTTAGTAGCAAATCCATTGCTCCAGTCTGGAATTATCACTTAATAACTACCCCTTCGACACCTTCAGCAGCAGTGCTGTCTTGTTGGCTCTCCACTCAGTCAGGGATTTTTGAAGCTTCTCTGGAATTTGCTTTACCTTCAAAGTTAGACTGGTCCATCCTAGTTTATCTTATTACTAGATTTATTTAATATTTTTATAGAGCTCATATAGTCACTAAGTAGTATTTTTCAATACAGGA